CCGATCACAGATATCGGTTGCTGATTTTTCTTTTTTTTTTTGGAAGCCCAGATTTTTTTTTTTTTTTTTTTCTTCCTTCATTTACAGAATAAAATGACTGTTACACAATTCACAGTTTATTCCAAAGAGAAACCTTTATTACCAAAACAAGTGAAGGAAGGGCCAAAAAAATGAAAAAACTTATATCGGCCAATGATATTGATTGAAGGTGGATCGTTCTACCTCTTTTTAACCCTAATCTTTCTCTGACATTTCCTGAAATATTTATCTTGTTTTGCATCTTGTTAAAACTATAATCCTTTTTCTTTTTTAGATGACTCGTTGCCTCTGGCGTCGCTACGCCTCCTGGTGCCTCCTCTGCAGCTCATGGCAGCCTCCATGTGGCAAGTGTTAAGGAAACAGGAAGTTATGAAGTACTGGAAGGTGTCAGACTTTGTGTCGCTTGTAGTGGACATGGTCCCTGAGCTGCTGATGTGCAAACATAGGACTCATCTGACTTTAGGATTAAGAGTTCGGGTGAGTAGGTAGCTTAAACCTTTAATGCTTGATGCTACAATATAGGTGAGCTTTGTTGTTATAAAAGAAAGGATTTATTATTTTCTCCACAACAGTTTATAATTGAGTTGTGTCGAAATGAGCAGCCAAATGAGATGATCCTGTCTTACTTGGACAAGATGACATCAAATCATCCCACTGAGGTAAATATGGATGTTTCTGTTTCTCTGTAATTCAGGATTGCTGTAGTTAAAAACCTCTATTCCTCACGATGCAGGTAAGCGAACCAGATGAGTTGGTAAAAACAAACTTTGTCGAGTTGATTCAGGTTCTTCTTGAGGATCCTGAAGAAAGAAAGGACTTTTTCATGGTGAGAATCTATTCTAAAATCGCTTTTTTGTTACTGTAATGTAACACCCATTGACCCTTTATTATTAGAGTTTCCTTGCACACGATGTATATGTGTGCAAGAAAGATGATGCATCAATTGAAGATTGATTTATTTACTAAAGCAAATGATTGAAAAAAAAAAGCCTGAACTCAGGAAAAGCATTTTAAGGTTGTTGTTTTTTTAAAGGGGATCTTCCCTGAGAACTACGGTCCTCAGTACGACAGTGATTTGCAGACACTGTTTGCAGAGTTTCTCTGCCGACTTTCTCAGCTGTTGCCGGTTCCTG